TACACCATGTCCAACATAATCACTCAGCCTTACTGATACGGAAGCCACTTACCTGCTTCAAAACGTCCAGTATGAACAACTTTCTTGGAAAGAACACAGACCTTCTCCCCCAGACCACACCTCAGTGTCACTTATCCAACAGGGTAATCACACTCAGCTGGATGCTCTCAAGGCATTACCCAGCTTTCTTCAAAACTTGCTAACAGCAAGGACTGTGATAAAATACAGAACACAGACTAAGACCATCAGTCTAGACCAAACATGAAAAAAGGATGTAAATGACTTATATCAGCCTTACCTGGAAATCAAATCAGTGATCTATAACTTAGGAATACTTCTCTTTCCTTACAGTTCACCTGAATCACCCACTGTCTACGCACAGTATTTAAACTTTTTCTTTTTTTTTTTTTTTTTTAAACACTATATGCAGGTTTCGGTGGTTTTTTTGCAATCTTCAAAAAAAAAAAACTGAGCAAAAGAACTCTCCATTCTCTAAAAGTAACATTTTTAATACCTTGTTAAGTGATTCAATACACACACTTAAATGAACGCTAGGATTGTATTTTACAGGATTGTATTTTCCTGTGGAAAAAGGTGAAGCTGCATCATTTAAAGTATGTTGGAAAGAGGTAAAACATTAACCTAATTTACAAAAAAGCACTATGAGAAAGCTTACCTGGTTCCTAACATATACTCACAATTATAAAATTAAATTAAGATACTCAGACAAGATGTTAACCTGCCTCACAAACCCACACAAGCTTCTCTACCAAAATCAAGACCCACAGTTTAAAAACAGTCAGAACCTGCCAAACTATTTTTTGTTTGTGTCTTTTTCTGCTAATGTTAATTTTATGACATTCCATAAGCTTTTTGCCTTTTGCTGGCCTAATGGTAGAGAGAGAAACAAAACACTAAAGCTTTCCTTTCTCCAATAAATGCAGTGATTTGACCTGTCAGACCAATTGTTCTTGAAGGCATTTCACCAATTTCCCTGTAACTCCCCTTTCCCAAGACAGGCTCTTGGCAAATTGACCTCTTTTGCACCACGTATTGAGCCTGGAGAGAGTCCTTCTTACTAGTGAGATTGATTGCACAGTACTCTCAGACTACACAAGCTTTTATTTCTGAATAAGCTGGCCTTTGGCATCCCCATTAGCTTACCTCTCAGTCTAACAGCTCTCACTGACTCGGGTTGCAATTTGTGTGACTTTGTGTTCTATTAGTTATGAACTCCCATATTACACATACAGGCAAATTCATAATCATAATTAATTTTTCTGAATCCACCTTACAAGACATTTTCATAAACAAACACACTGTATGCTGCACAAATTATCCAGACCAACTCTTCTTTGTTAGAGGCATTCCAATGAGCTCCCAAAAGCAGAGACGGCCTTTGCTGTCTGTATTCTGCTTCTAACAAGGGCAGCTTTGTTCCATCAGAAATGGCCTTGTCATGCATTAGAAGCCTATCTTGGTGTTTCTGTTTCTGGAGAGTTTCCATTAAACATGTTCTAAGTCAAAGTTCCTAGACAGAAGCTTTAAGCAATTTTGACTAAAGATAGTATTTTTATCAGTACACATTCTTCAGCTCACCCAACTTTGGTCTGAGCAACCAAAGCCACAGATAACTACACTCATACTCAGATTTTATATTTTGAAGTAAAGGAAAGTCTGCTTAAAATACAGCATAATGGGACAGAAGCTCAATTTTATTACAATTTTATAACAAAAAGGATGGACTTTGCTACCTTGAAAGACCCTGAAAATGGGAAGTGATAGTTTAGAGATACCAAGAAAGAGACTTCTGTTTTAAAATCACTTTCATTATTTACATAAATGAGGTTGTAGAAAGCCAGCACAAAGTTTTGTTACAGTTTAACAGTATTGCATAACTCGGGAAACAAAATACGTTTTCATTTAAGTTTAAAAAGGAGTTACGAATTCTGTTTTTACTCCAAGTTATAAAAAAAAACAAACCAAAACAAAAACCCACCAAGTTCTTAAACCATTAGACTTCCCAGACAAGAAAGAGTAAGATCATAATTTTAGGCCAGTGTGGTATTTTTCCAGTCTTTTTTTTTTCCCCTCCCACTTCCTTTGAAGACTATTAATCAAAAGGTTTGTAAAAATTCCCCTAAAAATGCTGCTCTCCCCACCCCCATCTCTGCTTTAAATAACTTAAGTGAGAAGTTTAAAAGTGGATTTAATTATTTGCAAGGCTTATTCAACCCAGGGGAAAAAAAAACAAACAAACAGACACCTAGTCACATAGCTATACTAGTATGGTCAGCTGTGTCTTACAGAAACAATGCAAAGGAGAGGCAAAGTCTGCAGGCTAATTAAACCCTTGATTCCTATTAAGCTATCTAAAAAAGATGGCAATTACCTTCTAACACATGATGGTCCTGTGACATCAATATTGGTCTAGGAAAAAAATAGGTTCATACTTTTACAATTCGCATTTCATGTAAGGAGAAACCTTCAAAAAGTACTATTCCTTGAAAATAAGGACTTTGATAACCTGCACTCCCTGACAACACTGCTGTCATACAACTCCCATTCCTGTGGTGGCTGTGGATTCAGACAACATCCAACTTCTGGCAAAAGGCCTCAACTATATGAAAGAGCGAGAAGCAAAAGGGAACAAGGGAATGAAAAAATGAAGGTATACCGAGTAAGTCCAAATGTACACCTATCACATAGCTCCTAAAATAGGTTTGCACTTGCCACAATACATTAGACTCTCACATGTATGCTCCTTTAAACAAAACCTTATTACTGCATAAACTTCAGAAGACAAAGCCAAACTGCTGCACAATAGATGTAAAATTCCACAGACTTCGTGGGGCTTCAGAGAAATAGAAGTCAAGAAAGGACATTGCCACGACTGGGAACACAAACCCTGAGCAGTTCCACTAAGGTAAATGCCAGTTTAATGCTAAAGAATTCAGAACATCACACTTCCTACAATAAGGAAACAAAGGGGACAAAAGGAACAACAACAAAAGCTGAAAAGGTGGGAAGGACTGACTCCAGAAATATTCCTAGCCTGACAGATTCCTTACCCAACCATTAGCCCCATTTCTGAAACGAGGCTAATATTTTTCTGTTCTCCAAGTAGAGAGATATATGGAAGTTGTACAGTGCTACAGTTAAGACTAATCTGTATCTTAACTAGGCCATGTGCATCCTTCAGCCATTGTGCTTGATTTCAAACTGGAAATAAGGTATAAGAAAAGAAGCATAGACATTTTATTTTTTAGTTATGTAGACCACAGTAATTCACCTGCTGATACTGCTATTAACCAGGCTAAGATAATGAGCACATTATAACAAAGCAAAGCCTCATTAAACAACTTTTTGAAATAGAGTTTGAAGTATTCATAACCCTGAAGTACACTGTGAGTCCACATACATACGCATGTCCCACATTATTTAATGCTGGCAGTAATTATCAGCAATCATAAACCAGATTTTTCAGCATTTGTATTGTGTGAGATCTGCCAACATTTCTTTTTCATTAGGCACTATTGTAGTATGTCTGTTTTTCTTGTTATTGGCTTTGAACTGAAGAAAGTTGCCAAAAAAAAAAAGAAAACCACAGCACAGCAGATCTTCTTTTTAAGAGAAATACAAGTCGCTGGCGTCAGGTGCTATGGCGTGCACAGCACTGTTCACAAACAGTAACATGCCTATGGTGTTTACATAAAAGATGCCACAGTCACACAGTATGCTGCACATTGAGTACTCTGCAGAAAGTAAACAGTGATTCAACTGATTAAGGAAAACACTGGCAAGTGTCAGCTCTTAAGGGCAAGCATGAAACTCTCACTCAATCTTTAACAGTTTAGTAAGGGCAGACGAAGCTTAATTTGATAGAGACTAAAGACTTCCAACCAAATCAATTCTGTGATTCTGTGACTAGGAATGAATGCTTAACGTTATCAACATTTAGCTTAGGAACGGTTTAGATTTGAAGGATGCTTATTCCTACTAAAATACACTATGTTCTTTTCTTCCCTACCAATTTTCAGAGAAACTAGTACCACGCCTACCCCATTAAACGTGAACTCAAACATAGTGGCAACATGAGCCTGTCAAACTCACATGCATGTTCACTGTTATTTGTAGCTTCCATCTTCAAACTAGCATGACAGTTTTGGAAGAAACGGTTACCACTCTGAAATGGTTACTTGGGATTCCAGTAAGAAACTTGCTTTTATGTTCAAACAGGCATTAAAATAATAACCAAGCATCTCCAGTTTAGCCTACCTGTAAGCTCTCCTTACTACATCAGTACAGCCAGGAAAGTAAACAACTGTTCAACCTTAAAAATAGAGAGTATTCTGGCAAGAAAAGCTAAGACTTTTCCAAATAAGAGCAAGATGCCTCGGAAAATGAAAGCCTAAGTAAGGTATAGTCTCAGTCTGAAATATTACCATGTATCATAGATAGTACTAACCGAAGCTCTACTATTCAAGGAGCTGCCTGTGAGGTATATAAGGAAAATAAAATCCAAATCAACAGGGGCTTACTTGTATTACAAAACCAGAACCTATGGTTAGCAAAATAAAACCGTAGCTGTTTGTATTACCTGAAGTGATTCTTTAGCACTGCAAGCCACATGTATTTTGGTGCTCTCAAAGAACAGAGAATAAAATTCCATTCCAATTTATTTACAGCTTATCAAAAATCAAGACTCTGCATATTAACACTTGCAACATTTGACTTGTCATGCTTAAATTGTCAGGCCCAAGTTTTTGCTGAATTTGCTGCCTCGCAGCTGTTCCTCCATTTTCTGGTAACACTAAAGACACTATTTTGCATACTATGTTTCATTACTTGCTCGAAAGACATTTTGACTATCAGTAATCATGCCTCAGGTATAATTAAAAAAATATGTAAAGAATTAAAATTTATAATTACTAAATTTAAATTTATATTATAAGAAAGGTATAATTTATTTTAACGTAGAAATGCATTGCTACACTTACTTTTTGCTTGCTTCATAAACATCCGTGATATTGGAGAAAAGGTGATGGCTCTCTGTTTTGGTCATTGTGAGGCTCCGTTCCC